ATCTCTTTGTTATCTTTTGTTTATGTTTTTTGTGGATTGAAGATGTGCTGGTTTACTATTTCTGTTAGTCATTATTACTTCACTTTTTATTTGATTGCAGAAGTTGTTTATGTTTTCCTTCATCTATTTTTATGTTTTGTTCTTTCTGAAAAATTGTATCTAAATTTTTCTGATTGGCCTTCCTGTTAATTCTTTATACTTGCATTAATTTCTTGATTGAATGAAATATGCTTTTAAGCCTTGATCATTTATCATGTTTTTTAATCCGTTGTTGACCTTATTGGTTAGACCAGTGATCTGGTCATGATCCTGGTTTCGATCAACATCTAAGAGTCTAACTAACTACATTACAAAAAGAATCTTTACTCGGTCGGCAACCCACCAACCCAGACAGTTGGACCATTGATCCATCTGACAGGTTCTGCAATTTCTGGTTCTTTGTATTATTTTAAAGTTTCTATATTTTTAGTTTGAAGCTTTTTCAACCGTTCGTTAAAATTAACTGGTGATTGAGTAAAATTAACTGGTGAAGATGATGGAATGAATTTGTGAAGTATTAATATAAGACTATTCATTATATGTTTGGATAACTGTAGACCCCAACCATTTAATGATTACGTAACGAAAAAAAATAAATAAAAAACATGACACTATCCAAAATGCAGGTTCTCAGTTAAAGGGACTTAATTGGAACCCAGATTTCTTACTCATTTTCTCTACCCATGCCCTGCCCATAATACACCGCATCATCTGCACATCTCATAATACGAGACGGTGACGTGTGGCAGCAATTCAAAGTGGGTGGAGTGTGGGTAGAGAGTAATGTGTAGGAAATCCCGTTTGGATTAGTTGATGCAATTCACCCCAAGGGAAGAAGTTATCTTGAATGGAGCTTTAGATCTGTGTTGGGAGCAAGGTTTTAAAAATCGGACCAAACACAAAATAAATTTTGGGACTGGTTTCTGAGTTGAACAATCTGATTGTCCTGTTCGAATGAATGATCCATTCTAATTTAAAAAAATAAATAAATAATTAAAATAAAAATTGGTCAAAATTGTTATCTGGGTTGATGAGTTGCCAATACAATCTCCTGGATTAATGGATAACTGACCAAATCAATAAGTTTTGATCGAATAGCGATTTTAGGATGAAACGGAACCAATTGCCTAACTGAGTCTCACGTCAACCAGTCCGACATTCTGATCTGGTCCGATTTTCAAAAGCATGGTTGGGAGTGCTTCATCATTGATTAAACTGCATTGACCGAGCTTTCCAGGTTTTACATCAAACATAGCCTCTAAGCTTTAAAGCTTTATGTGTGGGGTCCACTCTGTAAAGCTTGAAGCCACTATATAAAGCCCTCCCAAGCAGACACTCAAGCGTCCAATGGGATACTTTAGCAAAGAAGCCTATAACACCAATAAAACTACCCTCGTCCAAGAAATCAGCTTAAGACGTGACTTCTATGTGCGTACTTTAACCAAACGTACATTTGGAGGGTGGACAACGCAAAACCGCAAAAGGTCCCTAAAAAATACAAAGCTACAAAATTTGATGCTTGACAATCAGATCCTTTTGTACCAGTTTACTCAGGGAGGGACCCATCAACTTGTGAATGCTGATCGTGTGAATGTACAGCAAGTTGCATGCTAAGCACCATCTTTATATACCTACATAATCCTTTTATTACCTACGACCAACTGGTGCCTGTTGGGAGTTGGGATCACCTGCCAATAAAAGATGTTCTAACACCCTCTCAACATGATCTGACACTGGACATCTCATATATAGTGGGTCTCAATCTCATGCTAAGATGTACGGTGTGAGATTATGTTGAGAGAGTGTTGGAATGTATTTTGCTAATAGGTGATTCAGATTCATCAGATGGGTGGAGTTCAGATCATTTGCCAATAAAACACGTCCAATCCTCTACCAATATGATCTTACACTGCATATCTTATATATGGTGGGTCTCACTTTTATGGGGAGTCCCAATATCATGGTAAGATGTACAGTATTAGATGAAGTTGGTAGAGGATTAAAACGAGTTCAGATCTATGCCCCACGAGGGGGGGCGCCCCACAACGTCCCACAGTGCATTCCCGCCTTGTATACTCCCGATGATGACATCATTGGGTCTGATAGTATCATCGGGAGATATTCTCAATAGATGGTGGGGATGTGTTGTGGGACATTGTGGGGTGCCCCCTTGTGGGGCACAGATGTGAACTCAGTTGAAACGCGTTTTATTAGCAGTAGATCTCAACTCGTGGTGTTTAGTTGGTAGGTAGGTTTGTTGGCTTGTCCGGGCAGATACAGGGATTTGAATTCCTCTACCACTAATTTGGGGGGAGGGGTTAACTAAGAAGAAGGTAGTCAAAAATTTTATGCAAAATTTGCATTGCTAATAAATGTAAACAAGGGAAGAAGTGCAAATTTTGCATGAGATAGTTACAAATAAATACCTATAAGTTTTCTTACTTTACTTTCCTTTTTCTCCCTACTATCACCATATTTATTCCTGTTAGTTATACGTACCCATTCTCTAAAACTAGAACCACAAAGAATTGAGCCTTAAATTAATTAACCTAATTAATAGTAATGGATTACCTACCTTTTCCGGTCTGGAGCACTAAACGTCTTTCTCAGTTTCTGGTTGCCATGAATTTTTAAAATGAAAAAAATCATTGATGAAACCCAAAGGTTTGTTTATTATTTACTTATTTGCATTTGTCCTTATAAACATTTTTATATTAGTTTATTTAATGTTCATTTATGTCGAAATTTATCCAGGTACCATGTTTATCTTTGAATCTTTTTATTTTAAAAAGCATGTTCAATGGGTATTTTTTATTTCATTAATTTTCGTTATTTTTTCTTTCTATATGAAATTAATTTATTCACCTAGAGAAAGATATGACTTCCCTAAGTAAATTACCAAAAAAATTATCAAGGGAAAAGTTGAATTTTCATGAGAGCATGATCCCATATTTGCTAATAAAAAATATATAAAATTTGACTAAGGTTAAGTGTGGGAGTGCTTATTTGAAAAATAAGTGCTTATTAAAATAAGCACTTATGAGTACGGGTGTCAACAGTATTCTAAAATCCGATTTTGAATTTGAGATTCAACATAATCAAATCAAAATAAGATAATATAATTCAAATATCCAATTGGTCGAATTCGAATATGACCTGATTCGATTTGATAAATATCCAAATTCGACTGATTATTTAATTCTTATATATTATATATAAAGTAATTAATTTTTTTATATAATAATTAAATTATATAAATAATTTATATATTTATATAGTTTATATAAATAAAATATTAATTTTATATATTTATTAATTATCTAAAATAATTAATTGGTCGAATTTGAATTGAATCAAATATTCAAATATTTTATCAAATTCAAATTCAAATATTAATTTTCAATATCCATCAAATATCAAATCAAATTTGGATATCGGATTTTCTAGTCAGATTCGAATTCGCCTGATTTGATTCAAATTCGATCCATTAATACCCCTACTTATCAGTGTTTGGTGAAAAAACACTTATGTTAAAACAAGGGTAATATAGGTATTTTAAAATGATGTGGCTGGCCAAGATTGGACAAAAAGGAAATAAGCACTTAAAAATAAGCACAAAATTTGGGATTCTTAAATAAGTGCTTATTCTCAGAATAAACATTTATTTTGGATTTATTTCCCCAAAGCAAATAAGTAGGAATGGCGGGGCAGATTCGAGGAGGGTTTTGTAAATTCTAGATCCTACCCACCTCCCTAAACCTCCCAATCTATACCCGCCCCAAAATCTATAGTGGGCTGGATTTTGAGGATCCAAATCCTTTCGGCATATGAAAATGCAAAACCCTCCCTGACCCTATCCTCATCGCATTCAAGGGTAGGGGCAAGTTGGGTTTAGAACCCATATCTATTTGCTATTATTTATTGTCATATATAAGCAAAAATAAGTAAAATAACATAAATAAATAACAAAATTTCTAATTATTTGTTTAAAACATAAAAAAACACATAAATTATCAATTATCTTTCACATAAAATTCAAAATATTATTAAATTTAAGACCTATTAGGTAAAAATTTATATGTTTTCCAAAAATATGCACATCAGGGAAGACCAAATTTAATCTAATACCGTATTCTACCCATACTCAGGGTTGTAGAATCCTAAAAATCGTCCCCACCCCAAAACCCCATTTTCAAATAAAAAAACCTGCCTCGTCTAAGAGGATAGGGGTGGGTACCACCGAGTGGGGTAAAAATTGAAAATGATTATCGGTATGGTCCAGCCCGAAATAAATGCTTTTAAAATTAGAATAACAATTATTTTTAATCACTCCCAAACTAATTGGATCTTTCGTCCCTTTATGGGCCCAAACGTATCGGGTCGGGATAAAATGTGTGGACCTGTGGAAACGGGTCGATGGGCAAACAGATCAATAACTCGATACTACAGTGCTCATACAACAGTTTGTATGAGAATGGACAGGAATCATAGGACAAAAGATTTGGTATCCAGCAAATCATGAACTCATCATCATCTAATTAGACGGTCAGGAGCATCTAAAATCTACTAGCTTCATTTTACTACTGATTGACAGGTGGGTCCCAGCAGTGGCCCACTGGCCCACGTGTAGCATCATGGTGCATAAAAATATTTGATAGGTCCAACTTGAATAAAATATATAACGCTCAGATCCACCAGACTACGGTGGTTAACTGTAACTCCGTATCAAACGTGAGAATAAGTATCGATAAATCTCACACCATCACCCGTTGGATTTTAAAACCAGATGACCCGAGTCTCTAGATGTCAAGATCCAACGGTGAAGACTATTTCTGCACGGTAAAAGAGAAGGATTTAGTTTCACCATTTTGGGAAATCCAGGAGAAATGAAAAATTACAGGCTGTGATTTTGTAAATCAAATCTCAAAGAAAAAGTATACTTTTCTAAAAAAAGAAGTATGAAATTCGTTCGAGGGTCTGAATGTGTGTGTTGGCGTCTGTCTGTCTTTCTTTAAAATTTCTCCGCCGTAGAACGAATGTCGGAGCTTCGAACGCTGAAACCGCGCCTTATTTAAACCCAATTCCCACCATTAATCTCCCTCGTCCTTCCTCATTCTTCTCTCCTCTTCACCTTCTTCTTTTGAATCTCTCTCAATTGACAGAGGGAGAGAGAGGGATCGGAGGTGGGAATTGCTGTTCGAGGATTTGAGATTGAGCCATGGGAGGCTGTGCAAGCAGGCCAAAAGGTTTCAGGGCTGAAGTTGAGAAAGCTGCAGCGCCTGAGCCGGCGCCGGCCAAGGAGGAGCCTTGTACGGCCTCCGAAGCGAAGATCGAAGGAGAAGTTAAGGAGATCGAGGCAGCGGTGAAGGTGAACGAGGAAGCAGCTAAGACCGGAGGTTTAGCTGAGGAGGGCAAGGTGAAGGGCGAGAATGTTGAGGTCGACGAACACGGTAACAAGCGCCGATCTCTCAGCACCTTGTTCAAGGAGGTAACGAATAGACCTAAGCTGCTTTGATTCTTGATGAATTTCTTCTTTTTCTTTCGCTCTACTGCTTGTATGCCTTTTCAGCTTCTTTGCTTATTTATTCATTGCATGAAATAAATAGTACTCTCTGCTCACTGACGTTAGCTCATTAAGCTGTACTTGATATTTGAAACCATTGTGGAGTTCCTGGTTGAAATCACTGCAAGCCATTAATTCTCTGGAAAAACATAAGAAATGTTGGGATCATTCTGCAAACAGATTGTTTCTGCCGTAGATCTTCTATTCTTTTTGTTCTCATTTTGAGGATCTAAATTCCAGACCTCCTTTACTTTCGTCCTAAATCATTCAACAAAAGAGATTTCCTTTTGATTTTTTTTTTCAGAAATAATAATTCTTTAATTAATTAATTAATACAATATATTATTCTCGATCTCCCAACATCATGAGCTGGAACAGCTCTTGGCCCTGCGCTCTGAAAGGGGCTTTATTTTAAGGAGAAACTCTTCTTGTCTTTTAGCCCTTGTTTGGCGCGTCTTGATTAGCAACAACAGCAATGATAAAGCTGTTACAGTCCGATGTGGTATGGACTGTGTTGCACTATAAAACAGTAGGGTTCATTTTCTCATCCGTTAAATCTATGTTGGGCGCCAGACAGATTCCGGGACCCGCCACCTGTTGGGTCTTGGTATCTACCTGTGGGGTGAAGGAGAAAAACTGTCGGCATTGAAATGTCACTTGTCATTTGCTTGTCTTCATGTTTGATGTCTGACAGCAAAGGAATGGGTAGTGGGTACCCGATTACCCTGTTCCGGTTAGCAGGGTCCTAGAGTTTGAATCCACGAACTATGGACCCGACCATAGGGTTGATCTCGGGTGAACATATTCACCAATTTCCATTAGTTCTTATCATTTAGCGGGTCTGGATCTGGATCCACCACTAATTGGACCCGAACTTGATAAATCCCAGAACGAATGCATATTAGGATTTGGTTCTGGAAACATATGGGCCTATCGAAAACCCGGTCCATTTACACCTGGGTAGACCAGACCGAATGCTTATAGATCATAGTAGGGTCTGGCTAAAAGAAAACCTTAGAAGTTAGAACCAAGCTAAAACTTGGGTAGACCAGACCGAATGCTTATAATAGTGTCTGCTGATCTCTGACCCGGCTCATTTGGCACCCTTCTTAAGATAGAAGGTTTGGTTGTAACCATGTGTCTAGTAGCGATATGAACTTCTTGGTGTCATTTTTTCCTCTAGATATATCTTTTTTTTCAGAGGAGGTCCCGTCGTCCTCAATGGAATATAATGGCTTTTGTGACAATTGACCCAACTTAGAAAACAGTTACCTTTGGATCTAGTTAAAATGACGCGAATCTCTTGTTCACGAGAAATCTGTTCATGTCTGCTTACAACACACTATCCTCGTGTATTGGATACATCTCCCGGATGAGATATTCTCCATGTGTGACAACGATCCATGTGTGACAACGATGTTACGTGGGCAGATAGAGTTCTTGTGGGCAGGAGATCCGGACTCAGTTAAAATAATTGTTACTGCAACATAATGCCGCTTGTGGAGTCAGATTAAAGAGTACTACGGTCAGAAAGGATCTTTTCCCTAATCTCTTTTCTTGTGTTCTTTTCTTTCTTGGCAAAAGGCAGGCAATGCCTCCAAGAGGGAATGCTTGTGCTACGACCGCATGGGTTACATTATCATTGTCAAAACGCTGGCCACATCCTGTGTATTAGACATTACAGCTGCACAAGGGGAACATCTCCGCACAAGGGGAACATCTGGCCAGGACTCTCCAATCGCCTTACTTGATGTGAAAAATTACTTTACTGGTCAAGGATGGGATGTGGGGAACTGGGGCGTGCGTAGGGGCAAGCCTAAGTCCGGAATCCGGATAATATATCATCTTCAATTGGAGAATATTGATGATGATGGTGATGATACAAAGAGATTGCACACCCTCTTATTATGCTCACCATGTATAAGAGAGGTTATTTAAGTACACAAGGTTGTTACACGTCTCTATTGTCCAATACACTGTCACTGACTCATATCTCTTGGTTAATAGACCCATGCCATTGTATTATCTCAGCATTTTGGTCTGTTGCTTTGATGGAGAGGTTATTTAAGCACACAAGGTTGTTACACGTACTCTATAGTCCAACACACTGATTCAGATCTCTTGGTTAATAGACCCATGCCATTGTATTATCTCAGCATTTTGGTCTCTTGCTTTTATAGCTGGTGCTAAATTATCCTGTTTCTTTTGGCTGCTGAATTTGAATTCGATCTCCTTAAGGGTGGTCCCAATTCGATCTGTATATAATTGGATTGAATATGGATCTATCCCTATCCAATCTAGCAAACTGATTCAATTCGATTTAAATATATGCTCTTATATGCTGAACATTTATATAATATCTATTTATAAAGTTGGTTTAAATGTTGTTTTTATTAAATTGCCATAGGTTCAAGTTTCATAATGTTATTTTTGATTCATTTTGTTCATGAAAGCCATTTTTAGTTCATTTTATTAATAATGTTGATATACTCATTAGGAGTGTACATGGGTTGGGTCGGTTTGGTTGCTAGCATGGCCAACCGAGCTGACCTCTCAGGTTGGTGAATAGGCAAACTGAAACCAATTGACCCAATCATGAAGGTTCGGTTTGGGTTAGTTTTTTGGTTTGATCAGGTCAATCTATTTGCCATGCCCATTCCTTTTTAACCCAACTTTTTATGTTGTAAAAAATTTTAAAAATTTAAAATATACTATAATATATTAATATTTATAATATTATTCTATACTAATATATATAATATTAATATATATCTATAGTCGGTTTGGTTCAGTTTATACATGTTCAAACTGAAACTGACCTGAGATTTTGGGTTAATCTATTTGAGGAACTGAAACCAACCAGCAATTTAAGAAACCTGCCAAACTCAGTTTGAGTTGGGTCAGGTTGGTCAGTTTGGTCGGTTTGATCAAACTCATGAATTACCCTAATTTTGATAATTTTTAGTTTAATTTATTAACATTATTCAATATCCAATTGCAATCTGAATTCGATTCGGATCCAATGGATATGATCCCATTGAATTAGAATATAAATGAATCAAATTTGGATTTACCAATATCCAATTCGATTCAATCTATTTGCAGCACTTACTGTTTCTCCACTTATTTTCGTCTAAGGGCTCATTTGGTGAGACCTGGCAAATGGTTGGAAGATGACTTGGGCAAGCATTACAACACTTGGTGCTGTTTCACTTCTATTCATTGCTATTAAAGTTTTAGTCCTTTCAAAAGATTGAAAACTTGGTTTTTTAGCCGTCTGACCATAAGGTACACCGTACACCTGACTGTTTTTCTGAAAGAGAATAACAATATATTGTATATAAAGAGGAGGTATACCCGACTATTCTTGGTTGAATTTTTGTGCAAGTCGTACAAAACTTGCTTATTTTGGGATATCTATGCCCTCTACTGGTTTGTATCACTGAGATAACTTGCTTATTTTGGGATGCTATGAGCAAGTTGATGAATGTCTAACTTAACGATGTCACTAATTGGATGTTGATGGTGATTATAATCCATCCAATTTGGTAATTCAGTTGCTCCACTGATGCAGTTCAGATGTAGAATATATAACAATCCATTAATTTAATTGCCCATGTTTTTATTGTGTTGGACGTTTTGTGAAAGCCTCTTAACTTTTTAAAATTTTTCATTTTGCAGAATGAAGAAGAGTCAGAATCAACTGGCAGTTCTGAAACAACCCAAACAGAAAATGTCCCTTTGGATACAGTACTGAAAGAAAAAGAAGATCCAAAGACAGAGGAAACCATCACCAATGTTCTGGAAGCTGAAAAGGCCAAAAGCCCAGTCAAGGAGGACACTGCCGCAATTGTCATTACATCTGAGACAGTCCAAACAGAGAAACCAACTGAGTCTGTACTAGTAGTGGAGACTGTAAGTACTGATGAAAAGAAAAAAGAAAAAGAGGTTGCCACCAAGGATGCCAAAGTAACAGAGACAGCTTCAGCAGATGACATTAAAGGAGAGCAACCTGTTTCGTTGGAATCATCTGTGAAGGTAGTTGCTGGAGAAGTTGCAGAAACAAAGTAAAAATGGAAACTGGGAGGAACTGGTGCAAATAGTTATTCTAAGGATTTGTTTCTTCCTATTGTTTCTGCAATATAGGAAGTTGCTCTATCTGTGCTTTTCTCTCTATTCATTCATTCAAGTTCCTTTTCCTTTCTGGGCATGTCTCATTTTATTTATCCCTTTTCAGTTCAGGTGGACATGTATGGGATTGTTGGATGAACTGATATAATTATAAATTTTTGTGTACTTGTCCTGTAGATGGTTTATCTCTACTTTCAATTAAAACATAAAACCACGCGATCCCCCCCCC